CACGAGCATAAGGAAGTAAAAAAGAAGAAACAAACGTAGTGTGGCAGTGCAGAAAGAAGACGTGTGAAGTAATGACGTGTGTGCGGAAGAACAAACAGTTTTTTTTTCATTTATATATATTTTTTTTGTAATTTAATTAATTAGTTTTGATTCTAATAAAAAGGAATCCTACAAATTGGGGGCTCAACCGGGATTTGAATTTCCGGCAATTGTGAAATTCAGTCTACACAATGACTTGCTTAAATGACTTCGTAAGCAGCAGCCTGCGCAGTAGCAGCAAAAACATAATAATAGCGTTGCATAAATTTATATACCAAGAAGAAGGTGATAGAAATAATCGAAAGAGATTGAGAGAATTTTCTGGATTCGATTACGACGAAAATGACAAGGCGTATGCAAGCAAATGCGAATATATTAAAAATAATTTGACTGAACGTGATTTGGTTTCAATTTGTATTGTACTAAATATAAGTTATTGTGTTAAAGATGTACAACTGCACATATTTCGAAATCTACGTAAAAATTTTTTGTTGTCCGAAAACGCAAACGACGATGAATGTAATGACGAAGAAGGAGATGAAGAAGTCGATGATGATGATGACGAAGGAGGAGATGAAGAAGTCGATGATGACGTTGACAGTAAACGCACTTTCAGAGGCAATGAACGCGAGTTTAAAAAATCTCGTGACGATAATGGCAATAAAATGTTTGAAGTGGATGATAATAATAAAGCAGCAGCGTACACACGTACAAAATTTTTACAAAGAGAAGCACCAAAATTTGCAATGAACTTTCGCGATATAGAGGACTCAATTAGACCATTTGATGGCACAAATATCATTTCGGTAGAAAGGTGGATTGAAGAATTCGAGGAACAAGCTGCACTGATGTGTTGGGATGGGTTTCAAAAACTAGTGTTTGCAAAAAAATCTCTTAGAGGCATTGCTAAACTTTTTATTTTGAGTGAAAGAGGTTTAAATTCGTGGTGTGCTTTAAAACACGCCCTGTTAAATGAGTTTCGAACAACAACAAATAGCGCACAATTGCATAAGCAACTTAGTGCTCGCAAAATAAAAAAAGATGAAAATGTGTTTGAATATTTTTATCAAATGAAAGATATCGCATCTCGCGGCAATATCGAAGACGAAGCGCTGATTCAGTATATAATAGATGGAATTAGAGACGGTTATGTAAATAAAATGATACTATATGGTGCAAAGAACCTTAATGAATTTAAAGACAAATTAAGATCATATGAAACAATGTGTGAAAAAAGTAAGCAAGTTAACGATTTTAAACAAAGCGAAAAGAAAAGTTTCTCAACAAATAAAACAGAAGTGAAATGCTACAATTGTGGTGAAAAGGGACATTTGTCCATGAATTGCAAAAATAAAAATCGAGGTACTAAATGCTTTAAGTGCAACCAGTACGGACATATTTCTAAAAACTGTGAACAAGCCGAAAACAAAATAAATACGCGCAGTTTACAGCAAAAAAAACAATTTAACTACCAAATCCATTTTTATTGGCAATTTACAGTGCGCAGCCCTATTCGATACAGGCAGTAAATTTAATATAATTCGCGAAGACTTATACAACAAGTTGAATAAGCCTATCTTAGAAAAATGTAACGTATGTTTAATTGGTTTCGGTAGTGATCGCAATTCAAATAGGATTAAACCGATTGGACATTTTAAAAACTTAATTAAAATTGACGATAATGAGTTCATATTAGATTTTTATGTCGTTCCAATTCGGTGCATGGACTTACAAGTGATCATTGGCGAAGAACTATGCTTATACGCTGAAATTTTATTTAATCGTGATGGTATAAACGTTCGTAAAATCCTCGACGAAGACGATCCCATAGACGAAGAAGCTAAAATAATGAAAATTGACTTAGTAAATGACAACAAAACGATTGATATCGACAAAACCGCTAGTGAGAATGCGAGACGACAGGTACGTGAAATGATCATAAATTATCAGCCGAATCAATGTAAAACAACACAAGTGGCGATGTACATAGTGCTCAAAGACGAAACACCCATTTATTCTAGGCCGCGTAGATTACCGTTCACGGAGAGGTGCAAGTTTCTAATGAGAAAAGTGGAATTTCTAGGGCACACAATACAAGATCAAAAAATATCACCGTCAGAAGTTAAGGTTGAAGCTCTACGCAAATACAAATTGCCGCAAACATTAAAACAATTGGAAAGTTTTCTTGGGTTGGCGAGTTATTTTAGAAAATTCATACCTAAATTCTCGCTAATTGCCAAGCCTTTAACAGATTTAAGGAAACAAAATGTGAAATTTGAAATAAAAGATGAACAGATTACTGCATTTAATACGTTGAAGACCATCTTAAGCGAAAAACCGGTACTAAACATTTTTAATCAAAAATCTGAAACGGAAGTGCATACAGATGCTTCGATAGAAGGATATGGAGCCGTTTTATTGCAAAAATCACCAGACGACGAACAATGGCATCCTGTGTATTATATGAGTAAAAAAACCACTGACGCACAAAGAAAATATACAAGTTACGAACTAGAAATATTGGCTGTTATTGAAGCTTTCAAAAAGTTTAGAGTATACATTCTTGGTATGCATTTTAAGCTCGTTACTGATTGTAACGCATTTGCGATGACATTGGGAAAGAAAGACTTGTGCACGAGAGTAGCCCGTTGGATATTGTTCTTAGAGGAGTACGATTACGAAGTTCAGCATCGTGTTGGTTCGCGAAT